ATATATATATATATATATATATACACACACACACACATATATATATATATATACACACACACACATATATACACACACACATCTATACTCTCTCTCTATATATATATAGCACACACACGGATTTAATCATTTAAGAACTTTAAAATTACTGATATATGTGAAACTGTTACTTTAGAATTTTATTTGATATAATTTAATATATTGATCCATATATATTTGTTTTATATGTGTTGATTTATAATATATAAGTTATAGCAACACTTCAACCCAATTTGTCAATAAAAAATCATTAGGTGGCCACCATTGTTATTGTTGGTAGGAACTTTGGATACATTTTTACGTATATTTATATCAAAATCAAGTATATGTAAAATGAACACATTGTAAAACAAGTATATATTAATCATTATATTAAATTCTAATCATACATGAAGAAAAAAAATCATATAAAATAACATATAATGAACTTATCTCATAGATCTCATAATTTAATGAGTTCTCAAAAGAAAACCCATATATACATCGGGGCTTCTTCAATTGTTAATCCAATAATTGATGTTAACAATGTGAATTAATCTTAGCCTTTAGTACTAAAATTACCTTTCTACCTTTAATAATCGACTCTAACATATATATGAAGTTTATTCGTGCAGTACAAAAATAATGCATTTCTATTTTGTTTATCTCAATTTTCATTTTCTGGATTATGTGGTTTTAAGCAAATTAAACATTATATGGGCAAAGAAAGTAATTTTACTTCATTTTTATGATTGTGGTGTTATTTACATGACATTTTGCTTACTAGGTCCTAGGATGGTGATTTGTCCCAATCCGGTGGAGAATGTTGTTCACCCGATCCGAACAGGGACGAGGATTCCTTGCTAAAACGGGTCTCGGGACCGCGGCCGAGGATCCCCGGTAGACTCAAACCGGGGTTGGGGTCGGGGTCGGGGTCGGGTAACGTATATCCCGACCCGCCTCGTACCCGATATATAATTTTATTAATATATTTTATATAATATATTGTTGATCCTCTCTCTCAGTGATTTGATGATAATCACTTTTCTCTTTCACGTTGTATTTGTGTTTCTGTATTTTCAGTTCCAACGATCTTCACTGAGTATGTTCAGTAATCGCTGAAGAACTTGCATTGTAAATCTATCTGAGACAGCAATACTTCAAGAAGACAACACTCACACCAAAGAACCTTCAGCAAACGTTGAAGACTGAAACTGAAGATTAGAGACCAGCGAGTACGTGATCTGAAGCGGTATTCAGTGATTACAAGCCTGTCTACATATGTGTGAAGACTGCTCTAGCTTCAGCGAATGATGATGAGATCTTCAGGTCATTCCAGCATTCACCGATCAAAGGAAGCTTGCTTAGCACGGTTGTTGTTGTCTTGTCCTTATGCACACAAAGGACAAAACCCATACCCTTACAAAAGTTAGTACGGTACGGAGCCGATTAGTCGACTCTTTGTCCATCAACTTTAGGTAAGAATGTCTGCTCAGAAATAGTGCTTTTGTACTATTCACTGTAGCAAAGAACAAGCCTTTCTTTTAAGGTTTGACACACATTTTATACCTACCATATTGCATAAAATGGTCATTTAATGCACTGGGTATAAATAGAAGTGTTTCTTCTCCATGCAGAGAGCGCGCATCTCTCTCTAACCTTATTCTTACTTCAAGCATCTTCTAGCTTAAGTAAATGATCTTTCTTTTAGCAACTTCTTTTCTTGTAATTGCTAAAGCTTTGTGTGTAACCAAAGATTGTTTAAATAGGTTTTTATTACATTATCTTTCCGCAAACAATCTTGTAAAATCCGTATTGATCTTCTCTATCAATATATATTTTAAATTTGAAAATATTGTGTTTGTATTCATCCCCTCCCTTCTACAAATTGTTTCTCTTCTTGTAGACCCTTACGGGACCAACATATATATATATATATATATATAATTTTCTAAAATTAGGTCTTGACTGAGGACAAGAATCATGATTTGACCATAAAATAAACCGACGACAATATATTAATCCTTGTACCCGCCAAGGACTGGGGCCAGGTGTCGTTCATAGAAACTGAAGCCGGGGACAAGGATTAGAAAACTCACCCCATCCCCACCACGTTACCATGCCTACTAGGTCCACATGGTTATGAGTTCATACATATTCAAATCAAATAAAGCTTTTTATATCAAATTATTATAATTTAGACAATAGAAAAATTGATAATACATTAATACTTAACGTTTTAATTTAAAGTCGAAATACATGTTTTCACACATTTTATTATAAAGAATGTTGTTAGTTTGAAAGTGACATGATCTATACTATATTATAAATTATTTGACAAAAACTCTTAAAAATCATCTTTATGCATGAAATACTGTATACTGATGCATATTGTTTAAAATTTAAAATTATAAGTAAATTATGCATAAGTACAACTTATTAAAGTTTCATATTTGAATTAGTGTAACTAACTACGGATAAACATAATCAAATAGATGATAAACATCTAATTTTAAAATATAAAAAATCTAAAATATAATTAGGATAATTATCGCGTTCTAACAAAATAACTAATTATTATCTTTAGAAAAAAAATTATATTATTAAACCAAATGTAAATTACTTTGTTATTGAATCTAAATTAAATTATAATAAAACAATTGAATTAAAAAATACACAAAAAATAGAAATTTTAAATAGTTAATTTGATACTAATGTCGATATATTTTTGTCAAAATTTTATAATATCTTCAAATTTATATTTTATTCAAAAATAAAAACATATCGCTTTTTCAAAATCACATAAGACCATACTATAACATCGACCGAGATAAAGAATAAAATAAAATATTAAAATCAAGATGTATTTTGCTGTATTGCGCGAGTACCCTTCTAGTATATATAAAATACCAATAACTATAAGATTTAATAAGATATTTTACACACATACGATATATATATAACGATTTTATAAGAAGAATCGAGACTCTTTTTTCATGTTCATCAAATAATTATTCAAGTAAGAAACAATATTTCTTTTTTAAGGTCTAATGAAATCTCACATATAATAAACAATCCATGCGACAGAATGTTATTTATATTCATCTGGAAAATATTATTGCAAATAAATAAACAACGGTGATTTAAATATTGAAATAATCTATTTTATTTATTAAAATACAATTTTTGGACTACTTGTTTTTTACTTGATGGACCGCGGACTAGTTTTCTCGACTATACATTATGCCATCGGGGTGGGGATAGGCAGAAACACTTGTCACACATGCTATGTTCCCCTCTCTATTCCCAAGTAAAAGGTGAGTCTTATGTGTCAGTTTGTGGATCGTGGTCTCACACACTAATTCCCACGGGTGTCTGTAGTAGACCGACTGACCTACCTAAACCAATCTTCATATCGGTCCCTAGGCCCCAGAGTGGAGTTCTTTCTCGACGATAGTGCATTAGAAAAACTATGGAGCGTCCATAGCGAATAGGTAGGTCCAATGAGTAGGTCATTATGCATCAGGTTAGTATGTCGTCCTGTATTAGGTATTTTGATGCCCCTATATTCAAAGGCAGAAGAGAAACATCGACTTCTTAGACTTCTTTGAGAAAAAGAACTTGAATAACTTCGTTTTTTCTGAAGAAGGCTCCTCGACTGACTTCAGCTGCAAAGACTTTCTCTTTAGGCGCATGTCTCAACAACACAAAACGAGGGTTTTGCTCGTTACAGGGCTTGACCAATCATCTCACTGCACGAGTTGACGACAACCATGCAACACCTGTACGAAAGTAAGTACCATCGGAACAAGTCTTTCCATTTTTTTGGGGGAGCAGAGCAGTCAAAGAATGAAACAGATCAAATGATTGTTCTAGAATGGCTATTTCTCAAAGATGCTCCTTGTGATGCAACTTATAAGACAACTCCATACCATTTACCACTTTCAGATTATATCTGGTATGAAACCATCTTCTTCACCTGACATGCCCACTTCCTTAGCTTTGTACAATCTTTAATAGCTTTATTGCCAAAAATGACCTTGTAAACCTAAGCAATCAAATTAAAGTGAAATACAACATGGGCTAAAAAATTCAAACCTTGTGTATTTTATGTAATATAATAATATTTGTCATTCAAACTATGTATTTAGTACATAACACAAGCAACAATGAATATTAGTTTACACATATGCCTTGATTCATACAAACTTTAATGAATAAAAAACCAACCCTTGAGTTGGAAGTCAGTCAATAATTAAGATACCAAATCAGCAACATCGAATCACAACCGATTAAAAAGACATAATACGTTTGAAAATACTCTTCGTTTTTTTAAATACCGTCATCAAAGTACCAAAAAGTCCGACAACTTTGGCTCACACTCAGAAAACAAGATCATTTTGAAAGACACTTGTACATTCACGTCCACCCAAGAGAGAAAAAAGAAACATTTACATCATCCAAAAATTTCCCAATCCGTCTTTAAATATCAGTATGCAACATGATTGTCCAACAACCATCAGTCGACTTCCAAATCCCCAATTGTATTTGAGAGCAAATGAAACACAATCTATGGATCTAAATCGACCATAGATTATCTTTTCTTTGTTTAATTCCATTTCAAGTAATCAAGTTTACAATGAAAACCATCTTTTTTCTTATTAATAACAATAATTTTTATTTGGTTTCTTCATTAAAATGTAAGAGTTAAAAATAATTTCATTGTTATAATTTTTATTGCATAGCAGATAAGACTAAAGTGTATGATAGCGTGGAAATTAACACGATCTTCTTGAGTTCAAATAAAAATAGAATACAAAAATTATGTCTTCTCTACTTTTGGGCTTTTTTGGTTATTTTTGTTTGTTTAAAACAAATGTTAAAAGGTTGTTTGTTTACCTCTTAATAGTTCCATTAAGAGACAACATCTGAATCGTTAAGAAGTGAATCTTGTTTGGCAAAAAAAAAAAGTCTGCCTATTAATGGTTCTAAAACCCTCTGAATGATTTTGTATCATGGATATCCCTTAACCATTAAGAGCCCTAATTTTATTGTACACAATTACCAAACAATTATATTTCATTTTGCAATAAATCATGAGAGCCTCTTAATCATTCTGACCACTTAATCATTCTGCATCAAACCATTCAACAATTGCCAAACAGCCCCTTAGTCATATTTATGTAAATACACTGTAAATATTACATTTGTTTTTTAAAAAAATATGAAAATTTGTATTATAATTTGTCAAAATTGAAACATCGTTCCTATGTATAACTTTGTTGAGTTCCCGAGCATGGCCATAATCGGTCCCGGACCAGGCCCACTTTGGCCATCTCAAGATTATATTGTATCAGTGGTGGCTGGATCAGTGGTGGCTGGATCAGTGGTTAGAAGATATTAGGGCTGGCTATCGATTATTTGCGGGTCGACTTATTTGAGATAGATCCAAGGCCAAGACATAAGTGTTCTAACAGTCGACAAGAGCCACAAATCTATATCATGACTGAAAATAAGTCTGTTGCAATCCACAGCCATAAAAGTCCTCCCCACACCACATAACTCTCTTTATCACACAAATGTATAAAAATTAATATTAAAAATTTTAAAGATTTGAGTTACTATTTGTTTGCATACCAGATTCACAAAATAAAATTTAATAAAAAATAAATTAAAAAAAAGGAGAAAGACACGTCATGTAGTATCTTTTTGTCCATTTTATGTGTTTGAGGCCCCTCAAATAGATCAAATATAAATGTATAGATAACCAGAAAATGAGTGAAAGAGATTGGTTACCTATGAGCCACACGTGATATCATAAGAATAGGATCTCAGGTGCTTGTTGATTCCTGATGACATCAATTCAATCTCCTCCGGCAGCATCTTATTTCCGGCAACAAATTCAGACACCACCCCATCCACTTCTATCAAGCTACATCCAGGATCTTTTTTCACTTTTTCGTCTTCCATCTTCTTTCTAACCCTTTCCACATAACCCCATTGGTGAACCGATGCATAAAGATTCGAAAGAAGTACATGAACCCCACTACGGTCCAGACCCCTCTCCGCCAAACCCTCCACCATTTCTCTACCCAATTCCACATTGCCATGAACCCTACATGCGTTTAATAGTGCACCCAACACGTAAGAATCAGGCTCCATGGACATCTCGGTCACCACCGTCTTTGCCTCTTCTAGCATTCCAGCACCACCTAGAAGATCCACCAAGCAACCATAGTGTTTTACATTAGGCTCAATCCCATAAACATCGATCATGCTTTCAAAAACTCTTAAACCTTCTTCAACTAATCCCATTCGACTGCATGCATTCAAGACACAGATAAACGTAATCTCATTTGGTCGAACACCTTCTGTTTCCATCCTTGAGAGCAATGCAATTGCACATGCACTTTCTCCATGATTAGCTAGACCTGAAATCAATGATGTAAAAGCAAAGACATCTCTATATGGCATCTCCTCAAATACGTGATAAGCCAATTCAATACAACCACACTTAGCATACATGTCAACAAGTGCTGTACCCAAGATCCCGTCTAATATCATGTTCTTCTTATCAACATAAGCATGAATCCATCTACCCTGATCCAATGCACCAAGAAAACCACAAGCAGAGAGCACAACCACAATACTGGAATGATTAGGCTGAAACCCACGATGCAACATATCATTGAAGAGATCCAAAGCCTCCTTAAACAGCCCAACTTGCACATACCCGTTGATCATAACACTCCAAGACACATTATTCTTCTTAGGCATTTCATCGAACAGTTCTCTTGCAACATCTACTTTCCCAGATTTTACGTACCCATTAATCACCGCAGTCCATGTAATAACATCCCTATTCGAGCTACTATCGAACAACCTACGACAACATTCCAGACAGTTACAAACAGCGTATAAATGAATCATCCCATTTTGAACAAAATCGTAACTTTCCCAGCCCAATTTAATTGCTTGGGCATGACACACCAATCCCACTTGAAGTTCACAAAGATGAGCACAAGCTCGAAGAACGAAAGAGAATGTGTGATTAGTAGGCAAAAACCTGCAATTAAACATACATTTAAACAAAGATAAAGCATCTCGTGATTGTTCCTGCTCACTAAATGCTCTGATCATGGTGTTCCATATGTAGGTGGATCGATGAGGTATTGACCGAAATACGTTGTATGCATGTTGGAGGTCAGCGCGGGTCGACAGTATGCATGAGAACAAGAGCTTCCCGGCGGCAAAAGGGTCGGAGATTGAACCGGATCCGATGAGGTGGGCGTGAATTTGGTCGATGTGGGACCTCGTAAGGCATGGTTGGTCCAGGAGGGTGAGTGCTTTCCGACATGATTTCAAATGTTTAGAGGCAATGTGAGATCCCCCCATAGCATCTTAGCAACTGCAATCTTTTCACCAAACTTCAGTCAGCAATTTGCGAACCTGCGCCTAGAAGAAATCTTTCGGTCCATCTATGGGTGGGATGGTGTTCGACACACTCAAACGTTAAAATACAAATAATAAACCATGGATATAAAATGGGAGAACACCTCAAAAAGATAATTCTTTTTTTCATGAAATAATTGGTTTTTATTTAATGAACTGATGGATTTAATTTCTCTCGACGATATATTATTATTTGTTTGTGACTTAATAAACTTAATGGAGTTATAACTTGAATGTTATCTATCATGTATTAATGGTTATTTGCGACTTAAATGAATCAAATGTCTTCGTTCGGTCAACCGATTCCCACGTTCAAGCTATCACATTTCCATATATTCCCTTACAACTAGAGAGCCTCGCTAAATTGTGAGTCTTATGAAACCGTTGAAATCGTTAGCTATGTCGTTGAAAATGTTGCTCGCATCCCTCCTCCTTTGCACATGCCATGTCCTCCCTTTTGTATTTCTCTAAAAATCTCGAAAATCAATCCCAGGAAACAGTGAAGCTTCATAAGGTCTTCAGTTTAAAATGCTAAAGGTTATAATTTTGTATCATTCAAACCATTTATTTAGTACACAAAACAAATAGCAATTGAGTTTTGTTCTAAATAGATCTCGTAGTTCCTAAAGCTCTTAATGGAAAAAATAAAACCTAAAATGGAAGATAATCAACAATTTAGATACTTAAACATCAACATAAAATGATAGCAGATGAAAAGGCAAAAAAAAATCATACAATAAAATGATATGCAAATTTATGTCATGTTGTAAATGGTGTGTTTCATCGTCATGTGATATTTTTGTTCGATATGCAAATATTAAGACATTTGAATTCTGTGATTATTGTATCGAGTCATCTTTGTTTTGATTTCATTTCAAGTTTACCATCAAAACAAGTTTTTGGTGAAAGAAACATGTAAAAACATTAATTTTTTTATAAGATTGTTTGTAATTTTAACAACTGTAAATCTTATTTCAATTTTTTACTGATAAGAGGTGATGCTGAAAAATGAAAATAGAATCGATAAAATTATCTGTTTTAGTAAACATTGATAAATGTCTGAATATGTAAATCAAGGTTAATAAGAACAGAAAATATAACCAATAAGTAAAAAAACATAACTGCTAATTAAAAAACTTATCAATTTTTTTTTAAATCAAAATAAAAGGGTTGGTTTTGTTTTAAGATTGCTAAAGTTTATCTTGATATTATATAAGGTGTCATAATATGTTTCACTCCTCCAGTTTCATCATCAATATCTAAACTCACAGTGATTATTTCTTTTAAGTGATAAAAACCTTGATTGTAGTAATTTGACCACAAGACAGTTGGGATGATTAAAAAAAAAGCAATAATCTATAAGTTATTTCTGCAATCTTTTTGTATGTCATGTTACAAGGATCATGGACATCTCTACCATCCAAGAAAGAATAAATACTTTCAAGAATATATGTTTTGGGGTGCATAATTGAGCAATGAAATGCATTTTTGAGTTCTCTATGGATAACCACGCACTGCATGACCAAAATAACAATACATCATTTTCATAACGGGTGTCTCTTCATGTTTTCCTCTGTAGATCTTGTTTGGACTGTACCATAGATTATATTGTGTCAGTGGTGGTGGTCCTGGTGGCTAGATAGGTGGTTAAAAGATGTGGTTATCTTTCGATTATTTGAAGGTCGACTTACTTGAGGCAAATCCAAGGCCAATATATACGCGTTCCAGTGTAGTGGACAAGAGCCACAAATCTATGAAAGATTGGTCTATTCCACAAGTAAAAAATAAGTGTATTGTAATTAATCCATCGATATAAAAGTACACATAGCCTTATTTATCACCGACTAACCAATAATACATTTGTCTAAAATATGAAAATATTATATTTATTATAAATATTTGAGTCATCCATTTGCATACCATATTCACAAAAAAAAAAAAAAAAGACATGTCATTTAGTATCTTTTTGTCCATTTTATGTGTTTGGGGCCCTCAGATAGATCAAATATAAATGTATAGATAGCTACAAAACAAGTGGAAAAAAAATGGTTACCTATGAGGCATCGCACCCCATGCCATAACCTTCCTATTCGAGCTATTGTCAAACAATCCACATCAACAACCCAAACAATGCCTGTCCACAGTAAACATTGGGTAGCCAAGTGCAGAGCAGATAACTACTAAGACGAGGAAGGGCATAGTAAGCGACGAAATGCTTCGGGCTGAATTGACCTATTTCTTGCATATACCAATTGAAGTATTTTAAGAAATGAGCCAAGACAAAGCTTTCTTAGTAGGAAAAAATTTATCTCAAAGAGATCTGTAGAATATTCTGGGAAAAATGTCCCAGCTTAGTGAGTCATTTTTTCCATGATGAACTGTTGGCGCCAATAAATGAATCAATACATTTTAAAAAGAATTCCAATTTAATTGCTTGGTCATGACACACCAATCCCAATTTAAGTTCACAAAGATGAGCACAAACTCTGAGAACGAAAAGTGTAACATATTATACTAATCGTACCATATATTGTCCGTTTTGTCTACACACATGGACTCACGATTTTAAAACCCGTCTAATAGAGGAAGTATCAAGTCCCTTATAAAATAATCTTTGTTTCCCTCCCCAACCAATATGGGATCTTTTTTTTATTAACCTAACCTACTATGCGAGTCAACTAATCCCAGGGTGACAACCTGCTTTGTGGGTAGCCTGGAGTCACCGCATTTGAACCTCCATGGCCACAAAGAATTTTTTTTTTATTTATCCTTGGATTTGAACCTGAGACCTCCAGCACTTTGACATTTGGAGCACAAACTTAAACCAATCAGGTACCACCCTTGTGGTTCCAATGTGGGATATTATAATCTACCCCACTTAGAAGCCTAACGTCCTCCCCAGTTCACCAGTTCGGTTCCCATCTCTAATAGCACTTGTAACGACCATAAATCGAAAAATAACTTAACTATAAATGCCAAACCGGCAATACCAGCGATATAAATGAGTCAACATTCACTAGTTCATCTCATGAGTTGCAACGAAACAACAAAATGCTATTGTTGAGAAGGTTCAAACCAAGTTTAAGACAACTATCTAGCTATTAAGATAACGCCCACACTCCAAGTCCTGAGAATTACACCTTCCCCTTCTCTTTGCTATCATCCTCTGCTTGATATCTTCTTGAAAATGGTTTTAAGTTTTGTGAAATAGAGGGTTGGACCAAAGATCTAGTAAATTCCCTCAAAACACAATAATACTTCTCATGTGAAAGTCAACAGTGTAAAATACCTTTAACAATGACATAGTCACATAGTAATGAAACAATCCACACTTATACCCACGTTAACAACAATTGTACACACTTAAACTCACACACACACATGTGACCTACAAACCTGCCATTCCATAAGTATCATGAAACGAATTCATGTACTCAACTTGGGTACACACCCCCCATTGGCTAAGACATCATCACACACCCATACATTTATAATGCACACTCAATAATGACAATTGTTTGGATATACAAGTTCGTGACATGAATGCACACATACTAATCAAATGACAACTTGCATAGATCGGTCCAAAAAGTAAGAGGAAACTCACATGAGGTCCAAGCCTAAGCACGGTCTCTTAAACTAGGATTTGCACCAACCAAAAACCTGTATTTAAAGTGTGATAATGACGAGTTAAAATCCACAATAACTTTCAAATGAACCCCTAACAAACCCCTGAGGTAATGGCTATAAACACCGCCCCTAGGTCACTCTTTTCACCAAATCTGAAAATGGTGAAACAATGGCTTAAGCGACTTGGCCAATGGCCAAAGTCGCAATGCAACTTGCACAAGCTTATGTTGCACCTACACATTCCCTGCTAGAATCATAACTCCAAATCCAATTCCATTGATATCCACAACATTCGGGGGTCAGAACTCACACCAAATTCAACATAAGATCAACCCAAAAACTGATTATAACCCAAATTAATCAATAAATTTCATTTAAATAATCCACCATTTGAAAGAGATACCAACTTCCTACAGTTTTATTCAACCAACCCTATCCACCATGGGATTCGAATAAAACTACAAAATCAGAGATAAACTAAACACAAGAATAAATTTCCTACCATCAAAGTCTTATTTTCGATTAAAATTACTCCACAACATTATAGAACCTTGAACCCCAATTTAGATTCGAATAAAAAAGAAAGAAACATTGAGGGATGATGATCTGACTTGGGTTAGAGGTTCAAATCCCTTTTTTCTTCTTTAAACCTTCAATCGATTCCTTCTTCACACCCTTCTCACTTTCAAAGGTTACACACACCTTTGGTTTCAGCTGACCCCAAATGAGAAAAGATTGAAGACCCACTTCCTTGACCTCATATTTACCACACTAGCCCCTACATAAAAGGAATATTTCAACTCAACCCCTCTACTTCATTTATGTGACCAAGGTGAACCTTGGGTTATTACAAAAGGTATGTGCTATTAGTAGGCAAACCCTATAACTAAACATGCATTTAAACAAAGACAGAGCTCATGAAGCTTGTTCATGTTGACTAAATGCTCTCATCATGGTGTTCCATATGTAGGTGCATTGAATGTGGGTCGACATTTATACATGAAAAACAGTAGTTTTCTTACGGTGAAAATGTTGAAGATTAAACCCGATATAATGAGGTGGACATGGATTTGGTTGATATGTGAATTGTTAGGCATGGTTGGTCTAGGAGGGAGAGTGCTTTCCGACTTAATTTCAAATATTTAGAGACAACAAAAGAGCCTACGATAACATCATAGCAATTGCAATCTTCTCCCTACACTCCCTTTAATAATATGTGAACTAGTTATTTGAAGAATTTCGAAGGTGAATACAAGCGATGAGGAGGATCTCTATGTTACCCCATCCTTCAAAATTTAAATTCAATGGGCGTTTTTAAACCATATTA